TGGTTATGCCTCTGGGCATATACCCTGCTGCCTCCCTCTAGGAATCTCCTGCCTAATCCCCAGAGTGATTTACAATGCAGGGTGTTTGGCTGCCTACCGTGCTCTCTGAAAAAACCCACTGAATCTGGCCCCATTCAAAATCCAGCAAGAGGAGGAGGCAGTAGTGGTGCTGCTGCCCACCTTATCACTTGTAGCCCAGTGGTTAGAGTATCACCTGGAATATGGGAGACTGAGGTTTAAATCCTCCCCTCCTTAGCAGAGCAGTGAGGAAAGGTTTGAACAGGGGTCTCCTACTTCTCAGGAGATTGTGATGACCATTGAGCTAGGGTGTATCCTGACATAAGGTTCCACGCATCTCTCTCGCTGAATGGATAAAGAGAGAGTGAAGGGAGCAAGGGAACTTGACCCAGGGTCTTCTGGCCCATAAGTGGGTGCCCTAACCACTGTACTACACACTCATTTCTCTCTCTCTGGCCCTGTCCCTCTTTATGTATCCACAGTGGCACAGTTTCACCAGGAGAGACTGAGAGTGCACTACATCAGACTAGCTCAATGAGAAGACTACGGCTCAAGGAGAAGAGCACCATGCCAAGAAAGAGGCAACTCCTGTTCAAAGCCTTTCTCACTCTCAGCAGGGATTTGAACCTGGCTCTCCCACATCCCAGGTGAGTGGTCTAACCATCGGGCTCAAAGTTATAATGGAGGCATCACTACATTTGATCTGGAGTGCAGCCACTCCAGGTATAAGGAATTAGGATCACTAGAAAAGAGCTAGGCACCTAGCTCTAAGAAAGGGGTGAGTCTTAGCACATTGGCATCTCCCATCAGCTTTTGTGGATCGCATTCTTAGGCCCCAGTCTCTTCCCATTCAGTGTATAGAGAGCCTATGCATGTTACTTGGCTTTGTGGGTTGCAGTGCTGTTCCTGTGGTCATCTAGGCACCTAAAAGTTAGGCACTGGTTGCTTTCTTGTTCTGTATATTGGATTTCTAATATTAAGTTAATAATATTGGGCCAAATCTGGGAGGCTTTTGTTTTATTTACTCTCAGGAAAACGCTGATTGCTTTCAGTGGGAGTTTGGCCTGAGCAAGGGCTGCAGGAGTTGGCCAAATAATAGCCACTATTCTTGTTTTCAGGTTTCTAAATCAAAGGATGGGAGCTAAATAAACTCATGATCTATCCGTTTTCTCCTGTTTCCCCCTAAACTCAGCAGGTGCATCATTGTCCCAGTACTAACCTCCCTGGCTGCCTTCCTACTCACACTGAGTTTCAGCAGACCTTGCATCTTTCCAGAAGTCTACCTTCTGCCAGTCACACCACAGAGCCACTTTAGGATTCATGCCTGTGTCTCCAGGTACTGGGACCTCCTGTCTGGGGCCCAAGTCAACAGTGCAGCCTTAAGTCAGGGAAGTACATAAGCATGTATTTCAGTTTAAGCACAAGCTTCAGTCCCACAGACTTAGCTAAGCACATATAAGTAAATGGATTGTTCCATAAAGATTGTCTTTGTCTGGGGCATTTGGGACACACTCTAAATCCTGATCTACTCCCACTGGCCAGAGACCTTCTGGCACAGTGGCAGCTACGGTATTGCCAACCTCAAGCATTCAAACATTATGAGGCAGCCCTTCCACCCTTGGTCATATGATTGGTTTAAAATCATGATTAAACAATTACAGCATTTGGGTGCCTCTTATTTTCCCTTTGGTTTCAAAGCCCATAAAACTTTATTTTGTGAACACTGAATGTTTGGACTAAATTAACTGACAGGAGTCCTTTAAACACTGAGGGCTTAGCTAGGACCCTAGTGTAACTATATGAAATGTGTGATATATGGATTTATTCCATGCTCTTCTATGGTTGGGTGCTAGTAAACGCATGTAAGCATTTTTTGTAACATACTGTTGCATTTGAAAAGACCCCCTTGCCACCAATGGAAGGGAACAGGCAGGCAAGTCAGAACAGACAGTACCGATTGGTGGTAAAGTGGTGAAAAATTTTTGGTACATGCAGCTGGAACTGGGGGTAGTGTTAACGTCTGTAGTTGATTTGACCTTCCTGGAGGGCACAAAACATGACAATGCTATACTTTCAGCGTTAAACACTGCTTTGGTGGCACCAGGTATTGATGAGAAAGAGCTAACGAATCATGGGATGTCAAATTTATTTTTCTGGAGCGGGACTTTAGTGGCATTCCTCCACATTAAACACATCACTATAAGATATTTCTCAGGCATTGGAGAAATGCTATAAACCCCAGGAATAAGCTCTATTACTATGGACCTACTTACATGGTCATTAACATAGAATCCGAGGATCGCCCAATCACTACTGTATTGATCTTCAGACCACGCCACTGAGGTAGGAAGTACAATTATCCCCATTTTACAGATGGGAAACTGCGGCACAAAGAGACAGGGCCAGATTGAAAAGATAGGAGTTGGGCTCCTAAAGGTCTGGCCCTAAGTGACTTGCCCACGACCACATAGGAAGTCTATTCCGGAGTAGGGAACGGAACCCCTCTCTTCCCAATTCTAGGCTAATACCCTACCCACTGGACTATCTTTTCTCTCTCCCCAGGTATGACCGGTGGGTTGTATAGGGAAGAATTAAGAAACAGCTTGTTGTATGTCACACACAGAGAAGCTTTCTTGGTGTATGGTTATAGAACTTTGTCAGACCTTTGAGATACCTCATCTCAGGTGAACCACAATTCAGATATCAGCCAAAATGTTACAGGGTGGCTGGTAATCCTATAGGTCCTTTTCCATATGTGACCACAGGACTGTATTCCAATGGCGTGATCCTGGAGGTATCTGCCCATCAAACAAAGCCAAGAATTTTTTTTTTAATTGCCAAGGCATAATTGTCAAGGGGGGAGGGATAGCTCAGTGGTTTGAGCATTGGCCTGCTAAACCCAGGGTTGTGAGTTCAATCCTTGAGGGGACCACTTAGGGATCTGGGGCAAAATCAGTACTTGGTCCTGCTAGTGAAGGCAGGGGGCTGGACTCAATGACCTTTCAAGGTCCCTTCTAGTTCTAGAAGATGGGATATCTCCATTTATTTCTAGAAACAAACTGGGGGAAATACTTCTAAGGGATATCCCTGGCAAGGACCCTTATATTTCGAATTCTTTGTGGCCTCATTTAAGGATATTGTGTTCCTTAAATACCTGAAACTGTTTTCAGATAACACTGTACTGTAGGTAATCCAGTGATTTGGCAGGGGTGAACTACCATGTTGTTGTCTACAGAGGATGGTACTGTTGACTCTTTTCCCCTTATGACTCAGTTCGCACAATGCTGCATGTTATGCATTCTTTTTCAGTGCTGCATGTAGGCAATAAAGCCTAGAAAATATTTACTCTGTCTGGTGTGTATTTTCCATGTAGAACAGGTAACATATTTCAGACCGTGCATACCCCTGAGTACTCATGGTCAGTCATGTAGTAACTGTTTAAGGAAATGCACTGACCATATGACTGTACAGATCAGTACTTTTTTTTTTAATTGCCAGTGCATAATTGTCAAGAATGTTGGTATTATCTTCTTCTTGACAAGTGCTATTGGAGGTTTAATTTCCTCCTGGATACCTCCAGAGATGGTCTGAATAGACCATAGGATGAGTTGAGGAAATGCATCTATATCCTAAGTATTATACTAGTATAACATTGGAGGACAGCTCAGCTGCATTATGGGACTTAAACACATTGAATCAATACCATTACAACAGAGGCAAAGGTGGCCTATAGTCTTCTTGTCAGAGATGGGTTAGCTACTACTACTTAAAGGAGCTAATGAAAAACAGAAATGGTTGTGATGGAATGTAAGTCTTAATCAAATGTAACGTTTCAGGATATAAATAAAACCCTGGTATATACATAACATTTGTGAACAGATGTTGAGGATTTTATCCATTTAAAATTCTTCTAGTTTAGTTTGGATATACAGCACTCAGTTTTCAGGCTTTCATTCAGGTGCTGTATCTGATTAGTCAGCTGGGCAATGCAAATATAAGGTTTTTGTGCCTTACAAGGAGAAGAGGCTGTTAAATGTGCAGCCCATTCTACCTGTCTGCCTTCAGCAGTTCTTAAGGTCCCAGCACTATGCCACGTAGGCTAACAGCTTTTATTCTGTAATAAGGCAGTAAATTATAAAGGGATTTCAATATAAAGTTGAATAAACTCTTGTCATGAGGAAAATGAATGTCAGGTCGTATGCTTAAATTTTAGTGATTATGATTTTTAGTATCTTTACTTTTATGATGTACATTATCTGTAAAGTGATACTGTGTCCTCCTCTCTGGGGAGAAGTAGGAGGGTGAAGCGAGGAGTGACTTATCTGTTTCAGAGTAGCAGCCGTGTTAGTCTGTATCCGCGAAAGGAACAGGAGTACTTGTGGCACCTTAGAGACTAACAAATTAATTTGAGCATAAGCTTTCATGGGCTACAGGTGCATCTCGTGGGTGCATCCGAAGAAGTGGGCTGTAGCCCACAAAAGCTTATGCTCAAATAGATGTATTAGTCTCTAAGGTGCCACAACTACTCCTGTTCTTTTGACTTATCTGTGATGCTAAAATCCCACCACTCAACAATGAGCAATTCAAAAGGCAACAGCAGCAGAAGAGGGGGAGCAACACCTGTCTTGTCTGTCTTCACAGATTCTACCATCTAGTGGGGTTAAAAAGTCACTTCTCTCCCTAATGCTTCATTCATGTATTGCTTATTCATTAGATACACTGTGCTTGAAAATAAGGTTAAAATGTTTAAAATGTTGCTGATACCTTTTCTGTGTTATAGAGGGGATCCAGAATACTAAACAATTTTGTTTAATTTATTTCTGAGGATGGGTAAGAAAAAGATCCTAGTTTTTGGATGCAATATCCAAAGCCATGGAAGTCATGAAACATTCATTCACCTAACTTAAGAAGATTTTACGATATCATAATGTCCTCTGTATTTCACAGATCATTCTCCCCCCAGAGAAGTAGAAACAAAGTTCTTTTTTTGTGAATAGAGTTATCATTTTAATAATTCATTTTGCTGAAGCTTAGTTATGTATTCATTTAAACAAGGCAATAAATGTATGTGTACAAAGTGATGTGATAGTCTTTAGGGTATTTCTAAATTATATTAAATGATATCTAGAGGATAAGGAGAACTAAAAATCAAACACAATACACCATCTTTGCTTCTCTAATAACAACATTTAGTGCCAAATTCTGCTCTCAGCTACACCGGCATAAATAATTATTCATAATATATGTATTGGTGTCAATAACAATGGCGTTATTCTGGATTTAAATGATTGCAAGAGAGCAGAATTTGCCCTTTGTACCTACATAGCATTTTTTACACCAAATACAGACCTGAGACCAGCATCTGTGCAACTCCACTGGACCAAAATCCAACCCAGTATAAGCAGATGTAATCTCACTGAACTCAAATGAGTTGCATCTGCTTACACCAAGTCTCAGTTTGGTCCAATGTCTTCAATACAATTGCACTGCATATAAATGAGAGCACAATTTGGCCCTCTCCTTCATGGAAGGGAATGCAACATCATTGAAATCACATGACTTGCACCCACTTACCCCAGGTCTAGGCTTGAGACTACAGCTGAACACATGCTTCTACATCAGTTAAATGGACCACTTATTTGCTCACTTCTGTTACACATCTCATTCAATTTGGTAGTGAGAAGAGTCGCATCCAAACCTTAGAACATACTGAACACAACAACTACTCTGGACATGAAAAGGAAATTTTATTAAACATGTTTACATAACATGATTTAGGAGTTCATTTAAAAGCACAGGGGAGTGTTAAGACAAGTGGTCAAAATAGAAAGATACTACCGAATTATAATTAGTTGATTTTTGGCCACTAAGACAGAACAGAATCTAGTAGTAGTGCACCAATGCTTCAGTTCTTCCTGCTCAGCAGGTCGAGCAGTAATCAATCTGTGCCCTATGGAACCCTGGGCAGAATAGTTCCGGCATGTTAAATAATAATAAATATTTCACTTGGTGCAGGCAGTATGTCTATGAATTAAAACCTAGTGTGCACAGAGTTTCTACATGTGTTACAGCCCCACAGTAGGAATCTACACCAAAATATTTATTAGAAGGAATTTGGTCCATACTACATCACGTTTTCCATAGGGTAAAAATAAAGTCCATCTATAGACATTTAGCACCAGACTAACAGACCTTGCCTGGCTAAAACCTGCAAAATGTCTATAAGAAAAATGGATGGCTTAGATTTCTTGGTTACTTCAGTATAGTAATTACGAGCAAACTGTACAAGTACATGCAACATACAAGCTGGCCTATGTGGAACTAACATACATTATTAAATAATCTTTTTGCTTCTTTTTACAAAACGTGCATGCAGCTTTGAACAGTTCCAAGTCATGCTGCCCTATTTGTGTGTGTGCTCACAAAATTGAATGGCCTGTAAAAGGAGGGAAAACATATCATTGAACCAGCAGAGTCTGCAGTTTTTAGCACATTTACAGTAAATCACATGGGATTTCAAGGCCAAGAAGAACTCAAATGAATAAAATGCAGATTGAAATTTGATTTTTTTTTTTTACCAAAAAAGTAAGATATCTTGCGTTAAAAAATCAAGCTTTGTGCTTGCATCAATCTCAAAGAAATGTAAACTAAAATTTGATAAAAACATTAGTAAGTGCAGAATATTTCAACTGGAATTTCCAGTGAAATACTGAACAACTCATACCATGCTCTATCCAGGGCAGACATGTGTGTCTAAAGTGACACATATCAGAGAAGCCTGGGTACAGCTGAAAGTGTCATATGCTCAACCCCATTCCTGGTCAACATTTTGGGAAGTCAAATATACATTTATACACGTGAACGTAAATATCTCCTCTCTGAGTCTAAGAAGAAAACTGCATTACCAGTAATATTTTCAGTGTCAAAATTAAGACTAAAGCTGCTTTTATCAATCCCCAGCATGAGCTGTAGATAGATTTCTTCAAAACTCTTCCATGCAAAACATCATAAAACATAAAAAACATTATATTTAATGCAAACATATTTGCTTTTTACAAAGAAAAACTAGCACTGTGATTTTGTTGTTGTTGTTGTTGTTGTTGTTAATGAAATAATCTTGATTGGTCATTTGTTCTGGGTTTTCATCTGAAAGACTTGGAAGAACCAGAACTAAGAAACAATGAGAACCTTAGTGGCATCATGTATGGTAATTCTGGCTGCTGAACACTTGAAGGGATACTTACAGAGATATACTTCAGCCCTTTTTTGTTTGGTTTAGAAAACGAAAGGAAGGGTCTCTGTTAGCATTGTGAGGACTTTTACAAAACTGGCAGAATCACACAGCAAAAAAACTAGTGGAAGTAACAAGTACAGAAAAACTGTTGAAACACCAGGAAGTTAACACTGCTTGTGGGCTCTGTCAAAATGTGAAAAAATACAACACTTAACAGAGTGAGAGCTTCCAGTTTTGTATTGTTTTTTCATTTTATTCTAATCTAAAGGTCCCGCTCTTTTTAAAAATTGTAATAAGCATCAGTGACTATCACTAGTAGATTGACTTACTGTATTTGATATACTATTTTGTTCTGTTAATTTAAGCCATCTTTTAACAAATAATTCAGACATATTTTTGGATAACTACTACAGGCAAAACAGAAGTGATTGTCTCTCTCCAACAATGCTTTTGATCATATAAGAATCTGGTTCTGATTGTTATCTTGGGTGGTAACATTTTTATTAGACAGCATCTGCTATAAGTTCACTATGATCTAATGCACGGAGGCCCAGTTGAACTTTCCAGAGATGACTGGGAAGCCCTGCGGGTCAGGGGAGTCAAGGTTGGATCCACTAGTGATGAGGGTGGAAATAATTTATACCATCCTATTACTACACTGGACAGATCAAGTTCCTCCAGAAGGATCTGTGCAACACCCATGAAGCATTTGTGATCCATTCGGCCATAGTCTCCCCAAACTATCACCTGTAAGGACATAAAATACAGATTTAACACTGTCCAAAGAATATACACTGATATGTTCATTCATGTGGCAACTCCCTACCTGCAGGAGTAGGGTGAGTATTTTTTCAAAGGAGAAGAGAAGGGGCCTGATGGGAAATCTCAGGTAGGGTTAGGGCCATAGACAGCAATAGAGAAAAAATTCTAATAAAGCCACATCGGTACATTTTGGGAGTCTGATGATATTACAAATCACTCAGGTATATTAACTGATATTTCTGAAATTAAGTGCTTATGTGGGTTGTGACTGGGACAACTCAGAATCTTACAGCTAAGCAAATACTCAAGTGCTTTACCAAATCAGGGCCTAAACCAAGATTAAGTAATTACTGACCTGAAGGACTTTACCGTGTGGACTTTCATCAAAAACCAGTGTCTGTTGGTACAGAGGATCAAGTGTTTTCCGTGCAATTCTCGTCTTTTTCTTGGCTACACAGGCTCCATTTTCCAACAGGTATACTTTGACATAGGGAGCTGCAAAAATCGAACACCACCAATTTTATGTTTGGATTTAAGCATTTCACAGTACTGCACCCTTGGGGTGGAGGACAAGAACAATGAATGGAAACTGACTAGAAAGAAAAGTGAACATAATTACTTTCATTGGCCAAACTGAGTTGAATTTTCAACAATAAGCAAACATTTTAGATGATGAAAAGTCAATTAAATATTTACTAGTTTTTGGTTTTAATCAAAAATATCAGAGAGACAAGGTGAGTGAGGTAATATTTTTTATTGGACCAATTTATGTTGGTGAGAAGACAAGCTTGGGCCAATAAAAGATATTACCTCACACACCTTGTCTCTTTAATATCCTGGGACCAGCATGGTTACAGCAACATTGCATAAGTTATTATTAGTAACACATGTCTTATATTTATCTGTTAAAGTATGATTTTTTAACTTATGTGTCCCATGAACTGGATATTATTAACAAGACTATGTTGTCACTGATAGACAGTTTGATGGTTCCATGTGTTAGGAGTTCAAAGCCATTTCAAAATATGCCATTCCCTATGACATTTCAATGAACTGGGTGTTTAAAATTGGAACAGTCATTTCTGAAAACATTCATATAAAGAGGCAGTTGTTCCTCATTTACTTTGTGTCTCAAATAATTTTAAAGTAACATCTCAACAAATGTTAATCTGAAACTATATTCTAATTATTATGATAAACAGTGTTTCTCCTGGAAAACAAAAATGTTTTCCAGCAAAGACTTCTTAAAATAATGAGATTTTTATTATAACTATAATTTAATTTATTCCCAGTAAGCTCAAATGTTTGAGCTCACAGGCACTGATACCGCTTGCTGACTTATTCAAAATACCGCTGTGTCACTGAAGATCACAATACTCAGTTTCCACCACCTTGCCAGCTTCCTTGCTTGCAATTCCCTTTCACCTGCTCTTTCTCTTTTGTAGATGGAAATAAACAAATACATAAATAATAATGTAAGGGACTCCATATGCATCACCAGGTCCATGGTGAAATGTAACTAGATTTTGATTATTTTAATAATTTTTATGGATAATATCAGTTTATTTTAAGCCCTTTTCTCAATTTATATCACTTTAAATGTTCACAGTTGTGAAAAATGATAGGTTTTAAGCATTTTTTCCCAATGGTTATCAATGTAAAGTTTCACAGTTGCAGGAAATAATGGGGGCAGGAATCAGATGATAATTACCTAATTACTGTAGACACTGAGATTCAATAAGTTAAAGCTTTAAACCATTACAATACAAATTGTCAATATCACATGTAATAATATACAAAATAAATATCCTGAAAGCAAAGTCTAATAAGTTACAAGCAGCATTTTTCTTATTTTACCTACATGTAAATTGTGATTATTACTGATGGATTTTTTGTAGATTTGTGTGTGTACCATGAAATTGACATTTATCAACATTTACCAATAAAAATCTAATCCCTCTAAGCCAAAAATGTAACATTTTCCCTAGACATGCTGAACACTCCTTGGAGACATTCCTTCTAGCAAGGATTTTTCAGCCTCAGAAATGTTGATTTTGCTCGTGTGAAGGCAGCACTCCCTGAAGTTAAATGGTGTGTAGAGAGAGGAATTGAACATGGGCAGAGTAGGTATTTCTAAATACACATCTCTATCGAAAAAGAAAATGAATACATGTAAATGTAGTGACTGCTACAAAGAGCTGAGAAGGTCTCTTTGGAGACCTCTGGTCCACACTTTCCTGCATATTTTGTATTCTCCTATCCTCCATCATTTGCAGTTTTCCTCACCTGGTGTAGATTTGGAGCCAGGTTTTTGCGTGAGGCCTCGGGCTCTAATGACTTCTACTTCTAACTGGCCTTTTTTATCCACCATTCCAATCTGAATATCACCTGAAAGGAAAGGAGAAGAAAAAGCTTATTCCATGATCTGGGTCAGATCAGATGCAGACCTCACTCAGATGCAGACCTCAATGCAGACCTCACCACAGTCAATTGTCATCACTCAGGCAATTCTTTTGATTATCATTATTATTATTGTACTATGGTAACATAGACTCATAGACTCATAGACTC